ATCGATCGAGGACTCTCGATAGATTTCGAGGACGCTCGAAAACAATCGAAGACGCTCGAAAACAATCGAGGATGCTCGAAAACGATCGAGGATGCTCGAAAACTATCGAGAACTCTCGATAGATTTCGAGGACGCTCGAAAACAATCGAGGACGCTCGATAGATTTCGAGGACGCCCGATAGATTTCGAGGACGCTCAAAAACGATCGAGGACTCTCGATAGATTTCGAGGACGCTCGAAAACAATCGAGAACTCTCGATAGATTTCGAGGACGCTCGAAAACTATCGAGGACGCTCGATTGATTACGAGGACGCTCGATAGATTTCGAGGACGCCCGATAGATTTCGAGGACGCTCGAAAACGATCGAGGACTCTCGATAGATTTCGAGGACGGTCGAAAACAATCGAGGATGCTCGAAAACGATCGAGGACGCTCGAAAACGATCGAGAACTCTCGATAGATTTCGAGGACGCTCGAAAACAATCGAGGACTCTCGATTGATTTCGAGGATGCTCGAAAACGATCGAGGGCTCTCGATAGATTTCGAGGATGCTCGAAAATAATCGAGGACGCTCGATTGATTTCGAGGATGCTCGAAAACGATCGAGGACGCTCGATTGATTTCGGGGACGCTCGAAAACGATCGAGGACTCTCGATAGATTTCGAGGATGCTCGAAAACAATCGAGGATGCTCGAAAACGATCGAGGACGCTCGAAAACGATCGATAATTCTCGATAGATTTCGAGGACGCTCGAAAACGATCGAGGACTCTCGATAGATTTCGAGGACGCTCGAAAACAATCGAGGATGCTCGAAAACGATCGAGGACGCTCGAAAACGATCGAGAACTCTCGATAGATTTCGAGGACGCTCGAAAACGATCGAGGACTCTCGATAGATTTCGAGGATGCTCGAAAACAATCGAGATTGCTCGAAAACGATCGAGGACGCTTGAAAACGATCGATAACTCTCGATAGATTTCGAGGACGCTCGAAAACGATCGAGGATGCTCGATAGATTTCGAGGACGCTCGACAGATTTCGAGTTTAAGAATTGAAGAATACCAATTGTTCACATACTGCAATTAATTTTTTTAATGGTCGAGACACGGAATCGAATAGCCAACCTCCGAGGTTGCGGGCAAGTACCATCCCACTGAGCCATTAGATAGATTTCGAGGACGCCGGATAGATTTCGAGGATGCTCGAAAACGATCGAGGACGCTCGATTGATATCGGGGACGCTCGAAAACGATCGAGGACTCTCGATAGATTTCGAGGATGCTCGAAAACAATCGAGATTGCTCGAAAACGATCGAGGACGCTTGAAAACGATCGATAACTCTCGATAGATTTCGAGGACGCTCGAAAACGATCGAGGACTCTCGATAGATTTCGAGGACGCTCGAAAACAATCGAGGATGCTCGAAAACGATCGAGGACGCTCGAAAACGATCGAGAACTCTCGATAGATTTCGAGGACGCTCGAAAACGATCGAGGACTCTCGATAGATTTCGAGGACGCTCGAAAACAATCGAAGACGCTCGAAAACGATCGAGGATGCTCGATAGATTTCGAGGACGCTCGACAGATTTCGAGTTTAAGAATTGAAGAATACCAATTGTTCACATACTGCAATTAATTTTTTTAATGGTCGAGACACGGAATCGAATAGCCAACCTCCGAGTTGCGGGCAAGTACCATCCCACTGAGCCATTGAACCATTGGGGTACTCCCTCAAGATGGATAGTAACTTGGAAGTGCTTATCAGAGCCATTTGAGATTTTGATATTTCACTGATTGCCTGATTGGAGTGAACAAATATAGATCAATGATTTCTGTTACTGTTAATATTTAAAATTAATATAATCAAATAATCATGTATGTATAAAGTACTTTAGGCTGTAAGTAAAGGTAAAAGCGAAAAAAAAGTATCAAAGAAAAGATGTTTACAAGGTTTACTAGTTGAAATTTGAAAGATTTTTTTTTCCGAAGTCTATTGTGGAGGCCCCCTGCTTGTGGAGGCCCCGGGGCTTTCGCCCCGGTTGCCCCCCTCTAAAGTCCGACCCTGTTTTTATCCAACATTTTTATACACCAAGTCATATATTACCACTCACTCCGGGCGTAGGAAATCGCGGGACGATCTCCGGCCACCGTAAGTGCGGGTCTGCGGACGGCGAGCAAAGGTAGCCGCCCGATCAGAACCAGACCCGTGCGTACGGCGCGTCGCATTCCGTGCGCGCCCCAAAGAGCCACCAGACCACCACAGATGCTCCGGCTCGAAGAGCAGGAGTAGGAACGGGGTGATTTTTAGTCAGTCTGAAACTACATCTCGCTTAACCCAAAGCGGGAGAACTCATTGGTTGATAATCCCCCTCAAAAACAAACCGCTCTCTTTCGGTTATAATATATATAAAAATCTTTTTTACGATAAGTACACATATAGTTATTTTTTCATGTAGAATACTTACTCGTATTATATCTCTATAATCATATCGTTTGCATCATTGATTCTTAGGTTTCTACAACGCTTCTACTCACCAAACACAAATAAATTAGGCAAAAGGTATTAAAAATATATTTTTTATATACTAGCTGTTGCCCGTGACGTTGTCGATACGAATTTTAGAACATACCTAAGTTTTTTCTTTAAATTTTCCGAAATAAAAGTAGCTTATGTTACTCCTTAGTAATAATACTAGCTTTACTTAGCTAGACTTCATTGATATGAATTATAGAACATAACTTTTTTTGTTCTAATTATCAGCAATAAAAGTAGCCTACTCCTTAGTACATCAGCTACCTGCCAATAAAAGTCTTGCAATATCGGTCCCGCCATTTTAGAGATTAGCGCTAATAAAAAAAGACAGGCAGATAGTCAAAAATGAAAAAAGAATTGTTTTGGTAAGTGTATGTATCATATGCGTGTAGTAAAAAGCGGTAACTTTAATACAACAAACAGACACTACAATTTTATTTTACTGTACAGATATAGATTGAATATCTTTGAATTCAGTATTGCTTCGTGAACCACCGATTTCATGTTTCCATGATTTGTCTTTTGTTCCCAATATTTTGTCGGGCTTTGAAAATAAACCAAATGTAAAATGTTTCAATACAATTTATTAATTTCAATGTTATTTACTTTGATGTACTTTGAAGAACAAGTGAGGGAGAGCCATGCTTCGGCACGAATGGGCCGGCTCGACCGGAGTGATACCACGGCCTCACAGAAAACCGACGTGAAGCAACGCTTGCGTTGTGTTTCGTCGTGTGAGTGAGGTTACCGGAGGCCCAATTACCCTCCCCTTCCCCAATCTTCCCAATCCCTGAATCTCCCCAAAAGCCGGTAACGCACTTGTAACGCCGCTGTTGTTCCAGGTGTCCATGGGCGACGTCGATTGCTTACCATCAGGTGATCCGTCTGCTCGTTTACCGGATTATGCCATAAAAAAAATAAGAAAACAAAGTAGGAATGTGTACATTTTAAGTAGAAATAGTTAAAGTAGATGTAACAGTAACAATCAGGATCATACACATAAATAATCTACTGAGTATTTCTAGCATCATCATAGTGACTATTGTATTAAATTAATTGTAATATTTTCGACTTACTCACGTAACTGTTTGACGAGAAACTCGACTAGTTTCAAGCCATGCTAGAGGCTCATATTCATTTCAGCAGCAACGCGAAAATCGCCGCGTCGCGATCGTGTGTCGCGGAATTTTGCTCATGAATGAAACTAGTCAAGTTCCTCGTCAGACAGTTACGTAAGCTGCAAACATATTAATTAATTAAGTATATCTTACTAAGGTTATAATATAAACATAGACTAGTCACTGTATTGTACCTTATACCTGACATTTCATTGAAATATGAGTACATGTTATAATTGAATGAGCAAACTATCTCATTAAGCCTCATCTTTTGCAACTCCACTAATTTTGCCAACCATTAAAATAACATAACATAACATGACGCCTTTTATCCCCGAAGGGGGAGGCATATTACAGCACTAGATGCCACTGTACATGATCTAACACCCACTTTTCACTATTTATGTTAAGAGTCCCATGTAATAGGGGGTGAGTCTATTGCCATATACCAGACACAATTTCAGACTCCGTGCTCATACTGCGAAATTTTTCGAAAAACCCAGTAATAATTTGCCCGACCCGGGAATTGAACCCGAGACCCCTTGCCCGGCAGTCGCATTTGTGACCACTCGGCCAACGAGGCAGTCATTAAATCATTAAAGCCTAAATAGGTATCATGACCTAGCAAAGAAGTCTAATTATGGCCCCGGTTGTTTAAGAGAGAAAAATACTAAGGTCCTTTGTGTATAAACAAAACATAAGAAATATTTACAAAACAATAGGTTACAGACCTTTTGACACAATTAGCAGGGACTGGAGTAACTACGACTTTATTGTGACTACTTCATAGAAAACGAATTTAGATTAACTCATTTCTAAATAATAAGGTAAAGCTACAACGTCAATACGAGGTCAGCCATTTGTTTATCTGTCCTTAATAAACAATATCAATAATTTTAAGTCGCTGTGTGTTCACAGTATTTTTTTTATGTTATGACGTAGCTATTAGATTTAGGTCGGGTTTCATAATATGTCATTAAGTAGCAATAAGCTTAAAAGACATTTCATGATATTCACACACACTTCATGCTGAAAATAATCATAATAGGGTAGATGACTAATTTTTATTTAAATGTCGTGGTAGATTATTTAAAAACATTAGACACGTATTTTTATTTTCTAACGGAAACGAATAGTTTCGAAGATATATTGATTTGAAATATCGCACGACGTCACTTTTGAGTACGATTTATACTCTAAAATGACGTAGCTACCTCCGACTCCTAAAGTTTGATTCGTTTTATCTAAGTATTGTTTTCGTTTACGACAAAAAAAATAAGTGTCTAATATTTTTTCATTACCTAACTGACGGACTAATTCGATTTTTAATTTTCATATCCTGTCATCATCCCTATTATACGTCGGTCAGATTAATAAAAACATAATCAGACATTGTGGAACAGGTCATTGATAAAATTCGACAACGCAACGATAAAAAGCTGTTTAGCAGCATTTAGAAGCTCATACCTATATAGGTATCTATTACTATAGCTATATACCTAGTACATAAGGCAGTTCATTGTTCCACTTAAAAATATTCAATCACAGTAATATACCTACGAGATACATACAATTATGTACAATATCTTAAACAATCCTAACCAATCGAGTATGACCTTTTGAAGGCAGCGTATCTTCTTGTCCTACAGAATTTCCTCTTATATCTTCTCCTAGTATGAAAAACTTTAAGTTTATCGTTATTGGAAAGTTCTATGATATTCCGCCATTTTTGATCCAAATCTTCTGGTGGCTTGTCATTAACTAAGATGATAGGAAGTCGATTGAGTTCAACTTCTGTTCGGGAATTTTTATCTCCCTTCATAAGTGCTGTTGATATTTCTGTCCAGTTCGTTTCTTCAGGGCTTGAAGTGGAATCTTTCCCAGACATAACAGTGACGTCGATGTTGTTTTGATTTAGCTCCGATATAGCCACGTCGCCCTCGGCTTCGTGTCCTGCCTGCCCCACCTCTACGTCGAACAGACGAAACTGAAATTATAAACAGAACAAGTTATTGAACAGAATTATTTCATTGCTAGGGCCTTTGTGATGTATTAGACTTTGTACATGATTGTTTGTTTGTAGATTTTGTGAATGCAAAAGTAAGCCCGTTTGTTACGCTTTTTTAGATGCTGCACTCATTGTAATCAAATGTAGCGCAGAGATAAAACAGACAAACATTTTTATTTTGGTTTAAACAGTCTAACAACCTTCATTGGTTAGCCTTCACATTTCTTCACAGTCCAAACATTAATAATCCCGAAATAACATTTAATTTAATTTAAAGGACTATCACCAAAGCGTTCTCATTTTCGAGTCGACCGCACAAAATCTCTTCAACATAATTATTATAAAATTAATCACCCATCGGTAAAGCTTAAAATAAACTTTATGTAGAACGAGTACAAACAAAATTTACAGTAAAATTATTTTGAATGCCAACCAGAACGCTGTAGAAATTGTAATGAAAATTCATTACGGATTATATTTGGAGAACAAGGCGTAACATTGTGGTGGCAATTACTCTTCAACATATAGCATTGTCGAACTTGGAACAAACAAACAACGTTTAAGATCGTGAGAGATGTAAATATACAAACACGCTTTATACGCCAAGATTATACGCGTACGTGTTTATATTTACACGATTAAAATCAGATGCCAAGGAAAAATATCAATAAAGTGGTAACTTGGTGACTGACATACATAATTACACACACAAACAGTAGTTTTTTTTGAAAACCCTATCTTCTTTACACACGTAAAGAAAGTTCTTACTCATATTAGGAACACGACAAAGTATGACCGTAAATCAGTTATTTGAATTTTCGATCGTGTTTAATGATGTCGTTAAATAAAGTATTTAAACCACAGAATGGCATGTACAAAGCTTATCAATGAACATAATACACCTTGTTATAAATGTGCTCACATGTCGGAAGCCACAGAGCAGCGCGGCGTCGTAAAACCGTAATGTGAAACAAATCCCGCGTGTATTCTGCCTCTACGGCGATTAATGCTACAAGAATAGTGAACTAATGACGCTAAATCTTCCACGTTCATTATTCATTGATTACGGTTCACTGGCCAATTGTTAGTTAAACGCTTGTAATTAAGCTATAATGAGATTTATGTGGTTCCGGAATAACGGCACTCGATTCTGTAAGTTGACCCAAATCGTGTGATTCTTGTGTTGCTAAGATGAAAAGGACGCTAATGTCCTTACACGATCTAGTTCGGGTCTTCATTAACAATATTAACATCTTATATCGTTTCTTGGGTTACACTCACAATTGAATTACGATCTTATTTATTTCCAGGAGTATTTATTACAGTTCAAATTGTCAGTTAAGGTATCAATAATGAATGTGCTCGTTATGTGATAACAGCCTCGTCTCCTTTTATACGGACCTACTAACTTAAATGTCGAAGGTAGATTTATATAAGTACTTACACAACTAAACCTTTATATTATTTGACATTTCGAAAAAAAAAAGTAATGTCGTCGACGATGCTTTTCATGCTCTCATAATTGGCAATTTACAAAATTATCTGGTAATTTGAGCACTGTGCAAAACATGATACTATTAAAAGTGATTGCCTTCCAAAATATATTTACACATCAACTGAAATGCGAACAAATATGCGTTAAAAGATAATTATCATTGATATCGATATACAATAAAAGGAGTATTTACAACGAGCCCTCTCGATACGCTGCGCGCCGCGCGCCGCCATTCACGGCACGTAAACGATTTATATAACCCGAGTTTCAGTAAACCGCTGTAACTGCGAACGACAGATGTCCTTTAATATTTCTAAAAAAATCAATAGTCTACCGTTCGTCCTAGATATAGAACTCCTTTGCATAAAATGGAAGAAATCTTAAGGGAGAAGTAAAATCGGTTCGTATTATCAGGGGTGCCGTTTCGTCCTGACAAACTTTTTGGTGTCTGGGACAAAAAAACACGTCATTAAAACCGTCTCGTCTAAAATACTTGAAAAGTAATTTAGAGAAAAAGTTAATAATTTGGATATAGTTATAGTAGTAGTAAATTGTATTATAGGTGGTTTACATGACGATTTCTTGGGCAACTACATAATGCTTGTTCAAAAAGATATTAGGCGATCATTAGACGACCGTCGCTAGTTACAAATGAGCGGAAACGATTAGAGTCGGTCAGCCACGCTTGGACTTACGCCAACACATGATCCGTGACTTACCAGTTACGACTAGCATTTGGGGGTTACTTGAGCTTCCCCTCACGTTTATAATAAAGTTCGCTTAGCCCAAAGATTTATGGCAGCATTCTTTATATTGGAACTGATTGTGGGCACTCACTTTTGCCAAAGGTTATATTCACGACATAAACTTTCTAGTACTCCTTATTATAACTTATATTATACGTACAAAACTGTCATTTTCATGAAATACTGCAAATTGTTGTAACGGCATATACCAATGGTAAAATGGCATTTAGACTTTCTTCAATAATACAATTCTAACTTCGCGTAATGAGGCCGCCTGATCCTACAGGTGGTACTAGAAGTGAACCCTTGTTTAATCAATCAGTAGTATTAGACTTCATAACTCATCTTAGAGGATTTTGAAAGATTATGCTAATACCTATTCTCTCACCGTAATACGAAAATAAACATCAAGTTGCCACCGAAATATATGTATACAGAAGCATATAATACTAATGTAACTATTTTTGTACCCATATTTATAAATACGCAAACAATAGCGTCTGAAACATGATATATGGCAAACATTTTGTCAGAATAACCAGATTCGTGCAAAATAAAGCCATTTTATATTTATAGATACTCAATTTTTCATACTTACTGAGTGTTAAATTCAGAGTTTACTAACATTTTTATTAATAAAGGAACATTTTTGGCGCACTTGACTTTGCTTGCGTAACCTTGGTTTTAATTATAATTAAAGTTTTATAAACAGTGTGTTGAGAAGGTAAATAGTTCTGCGAAACTTTACAATCGCTGTCAATAAAAGCGGAGATGGTTAACTGACTGATGATACACAAAGTTATTATATTTACGAGCCTTGCAAAACTTGACGTGCGAAAATCCATCGATTCGAATCAACTACGCAGATCTTAATCATCACCTGTTTTATTTCAAAATATTTGAATAGATTATATTAATGAGTCTTCATAAGTGTAAATAAATCATGCTGCTACTGACTCACCTATACAATTTTTTCTTCGTCAGTTTCAAATTCTTTAACAACTTGTTTATAATTACTCTACAGCCATGAATCTACTCTACTCATAGCTGTAGATCCGGCCTTTTTCAAGTCTAGTTTTAACTAGATTTATCTAGAGATCATTAGTTTCATAAACTGCCTCATTGTCCAGCGTTACCAAATGCGATATTCAAGACCACAGATGGGGCCCAACAGGTCTGATGCCGATACGGAGCCAGGACCCCGGCTCGAAGTGCAGGAGTAGGAACGGGGTGGTTTTTAGACAGTAAGAGTCTGACACTCCCTCTCGCCCTGACCCGCGCAGAACAAGTCATTGGATGATTTTCCCCCCTCAAAAAAAGGTGTTAAATACCCAGGTTAGCTTACATACTTTCATTAATATACTTTTTGAAATTAAATACTCTACAAGTTATCTACGTAACAAAAACGTCATGATTTTTGATGTTCCTCACCGTTGCTATTTTTAATTGTAGACTAAACACGTGGAATGGATTTTACAGGCTTGAAACCATTCATGTTATTGCTGATTAAGATTATGAACCCCGAGTGTGACTTGATACTTGTCGAAGAACCTCGTTGAATAGTTATGTAAGTAATATGTTAAAGAAAGTTAAATAAAGATCAATATAACATTATGTTTTGGGACTGCCTCATTGGCCGAATCATAAGTGTGACTGCCGGGCAAGGGGTTTCGGGTTCGATTCCCGGGTCGGACAAAGTATTACTGGGTATTTAAAAAAAAACCTCAATAGTAGCACGAAGTCTGGAAATGTGCCTGGCAATAGGCTCACCCCCTATTACATGGAACTCATAACGTAAATAGTGAAAAACGGGTGTTACATTGTACAGTGGTATTAAGTGCTGTAATGTGCACATCTGCCAACTCCTTCGGGGATAAAAGGCGTGGTGTTATGTTGTTTGTGTTTTGGGAATACATTTTAATATTAATTGTCCTTAATGAGCTCTTCTCAATCTGCATAATTACTGCAGTGAGTTCAACACTAGTAGACCGAAAATAACACAATAACAGAAAAACTAAAACAAGACTGGTGTACATAAAACCTCCTTTATCCTAGTTTCTATGCATTACTTCTGAAATAAAATTCTGCCATAACAACGTAAAACAACTCAATTTAATAGCATTTCCCACTGCAGCGAGGAAAAGTTTATCATTCAAGTAGACAAAACACGGCCCATAAAATCCACTTCATAACTTCCACCTGATTGGGCAGTCCAATATATAATATGAAATAAATTTAATAGGTACCCAACTTTATCTATGAAAAAGCACCAACCAGTCATTTCATCCGCTCCGTTAAGTTATTAGCCGGATACTTACCTGCCTACCTAGTTTCAGAAATGACCTAATTTCCAAAAAACCTGACCATGACGTAGTCGAGTAAAAATCGAGTCCAATTTAAATTATAAAATATAAACTGAATGCGAGACTGACGTAAAACTTCTGGAACGGAATCAATCACTTAGAATTTACAAGTCTTTCTTGAACACATGATAGTGGAAAATTTTGGGTAAATGAAAAGTGAAGCCAGTATCTTCAGTGAGAGAATGCGTCATGTGTAATGGTAATCACGTAATTTATTCGCTACATTATATGAAATTCATCAGCTACATTCTTCGCATCACATTTTAATCTTTCGCGCTGGTTTCTGTAAACACGCTGTCAAAGCAGCATCAATTGGGAGCTAACGTTAACGCAGATGTTTGCGTTTGCATAAACGCAGGTTCGCTGGTGATTCAGATAACGTTTACGGCCGAGTACCGGAGATACTACGTTACCTTGCCCTCTAGTACGTAGGTACTACGATGTTTTGCTTACAGATTCGCAAGTTTATAAAAATCTTCTAAACCATTCATAAAATGCTTGAATGGGTATACCATTCTATCGGAAACTGCGTATTTTAACATCATTCTAATTGTATTAAGTCATAAAAAATATACACATTTCTATTACGAAACTCCGTAGTCAATCATACTCATTCGCCACAAGCCCTCCATTGTCGTTAAAGTGCCTACCCGGCCAAATTAATAGCTTTCCAAAAAATACAATAACTGCAAAACTCATAAACATAACATCGCAGCCGGTACTCAGGACTTTATGACGAATTCGGTTGCAAAAAAGACATTAAAACTTCGTCGTAACGGACAAAAAGGACTCTTAAAATGATGAATCATAATATATATAATACTGTAGCAGGGAAGTTGTCGATTGACAAAATGTTTGCATTCACTGGGGATACGTTGCGTCATGCCTGTTTGCAAACATGTTGATTAATGTGCCGCATAGTGACCCGTGGCCAGCTAAAATATTTCCCAGTTTCGTAAACATGAGTTTATAGAACCAGAAGAATACTATGTGCACTCAAACCATTGAAAAGTCCGACTTTCTCTAAGGATGTAAGAAAAATGTTTAGCTACTATGTAGGTACAATTATGTCAGTATGTGTAATATCCCTATAATTAGGTACTTCGTTAGTTTAGTGCTCTCAAGCGTGGTTACTGAGGAAGGGATATTTCTAAGAAAAAAACCAACATAACATAACATCACGCCTTTTATCCCTGGAAGGGTAGGCAGAGGTGCAAATTATGCCTCTGTACAATGTAACACCCACTTTTCACTATTTGTGTTATAAGTCCCATGTAATATGGGGTAAGCCTATTGCCATATACCGGGCACATGTCCAGACTCCGTGCTACTACTGACATTTTTAAAAACCGAGTATTACTTTGCCCGACCCGGGAATCGAACCCGAGACCCCTTGGCAGTCGCAATTGCGACCACTGGCCAATGGGGCAGTCAGAAGTAAGAAAAAAACAACCTTTTCAAAATTATACCTTACTTTACACATACTTTCCAAATACCCACTAAGCTTTAAAAACTTTAAAAATTATATGGTAAAAGCCTGTTTGCTCAGGAATTCTGATAACCGGTGAGACTTAGTAACAGAATTTGTCCCTCTAATTGGGTTGCGGTGACATCGAAGTCACTTAGTGCGAAATATCAGATGCTACCGCATCCGACGGCTGCAGTAGTCTGCAATATTGCACCCGCAGATTATTATTTTAGTAGGAAATAAGCGCTTCGCTCTGAGCTTATTCGTATATTGAAATTGGAAACATTTTCGTCTCTACTTCGATATATATATTCTTCTAGCCATATGGCACTTTGAATCGTGATCGTCGTAATTGAAGTTTTAATATTTAATTGGAGATAAGTTAAATATATTACATTACTTAATTTTATTGTTGTACTAGCGACCCGCCCTGCAGCGGTGCAATTTGCATGTATTATACATATAAACCTTCCTTAAGAATCTGTTTATTTATTTTAAAAACCGCATCAAAATCCGTTGCGTAGTTTTAAAGATCATAGGAACAGACAGGCGGCGGATAGCGACTTTGTTTTATACTATGTAGTGATAAATAGATTGAAAAGAAGTGATAAAACGTAGCTACCTTTGGTCCCATTGTCCCATTTTGTACCTAACAAGGCAGTTTGAGATTTGTAACCGACTTAATCGACACAACATGATGATTAATCTATACTAATATTATAAAGCTGCAGAGTTTGTTTTTGTGCGTGATAATCTCCGAAACTACTGGTTCGATTTGAAAAATTCTTTCTGTCTTGGATAGACCATTTATCGAGGAAGGTTATAGGCTATAAAATATCACGCTACGATTAATAGGCGCCGAGCAAAGCGAGTGAAACCGCGCGGAAGTAGCTAGCTATTTAAAAATGTTCAATAAGAAAAAAAACAGCAACACAGAGGCACATCTATGAATATCGGTTACCTGTGCTCTCTTCATATAAAAACAGTTGAAACTCAATATTTGATTTCAAAATATTGGAAGTACGAGTGAAAATAAAGTTGTAATTAACAAAGCTTAATACATTATGTTTTTATACGTTCCAACGCCTGGATGTTGTTTCTTTAAGCTCATATACAATGATGTTTATTGTTTATAAAGACCGTAAAGACTACAAAACAATGGGTACGCCGTACAGGTCTTAACGAAACATTGTTTCTTTCGCACATCAGCATTCATTTTCAATTTTACGCTACATTCCAATATTAACACATTAATACTGACAGTTTTGCAAACATTTATTGAAAGGTTGTTTCCCTGGAATGTGGTAATGAACTTCATTAACCTTCACATGTGCTTTTTCGTTTGCTGTGGTCTCTTCGTTCAATTTGAGACTTTTTACGTAATAGGAGGCAAACGAGCACACGGATCACCTGATGGTAAGCGATGAGCGCCGACCATGGACACCCGCAATACCAGAGGAGTCACAGGTGCGTTGCCAGCCTTTCAAAAAGGAGTACGCTCTTTTCTTGAATGTTTGAAGGTCGTATCGTATATATTTGAATTATGTAATAATTATTGGGCTTGAAAAGTTGTTAACTCCCACGTGCAGGGCTACTCTTTCTGTCCTTGGGACTTTCACATTCATTCATTAACATTACAGTTAACAACAATTTAATGTAAAGAAAATGAAAGAAAGAAAGAAATTTCGTGTATCAGATCTTCCTGACTTTGACTTATTATTATTATTTAAAAAGTGTTCTATCACCAAAATGATGACTCTGGGTATATTGTATCTACCAGCAGCCATAGTTCGTGTGTTATGGTTGTTTTTTACATAAGATAAATCATGCTCCTGAGTTCTTGTTCGGTTATTTAATTGCAATCAATAACTGCTTGCAATAAGATTATAATAACCAAACCAAATTAATAACCCTGCAACACACTCCACTATCAGATAACAGTAACAAAACACTAGTTAGTTAACCAACAATAAATAATGATAATTACCCTGTGTTTTTCCCTGGAGGCTGTGTAGAGGATCCAGGCGACGTACACAAACATGATTAGGGCTGGCACCACGAGACTGGCGACTATGGGGATGCGACGCACCCAGGCGTGGTACAGCGCAAGTATGAAGAGAGATATCCCCACCAGAATGGCCATGTACCGGCCAGTTCGGCGCCGCTCTTCCTGTAAAATGTACCATATGTTGTCTTAAATTAAGGTTTACAATAATTATTTGAACTTGAAGGCTAAGAATGGTGTGTGCACCATACGTGTTTCCACGTAAACACACCATGACACCTACTTTCTACGAGTTATGTGATGTTAATGGTAAGCCTATTGCCATATGCCGAGCACAATTCCATATTCCGTGTTACATACTGAGAATTTTGGAAAATCTGAAATACAGCTAATATCACTAGCAGTCACTCTTACGACCTCTCGACTAACGAGCCATAGGCAGAGGCAAAATGAGATTAATCCTTGAGTTTCTAAATATTTTATTATATTTTTTGAGTTATATAAATTTCGAAAAATTTTACTAATTTTATAGTAATAAATAAATTCTTTCAACCTTTAAAATAAAGGCAAGACTTGTTTAAACTCAAGCATTTGTGTAATATCAACCTGCGTACTTTACTACGAAACCAAGGTTTTATATCTAAAATTGTGTTCAAAATATTTAATTCACCATTTTATCTGGTTTCCCGAGGGCAACAAAATGATATACGTCCGGTCTGTTGTCTCTTGCAATATGGCGCGACGCGACAAACCTCAGCCGACATGTCTGTAAACTCTAAAATGAATAAAATGTCCTGTTACAGGACACGTGTCTCTCTGATATTTGCCTGGTCAACGCTTCACTGTAAAGTACATTGTGATTATAAGGGTCCAATCTTAGTATGTATTACATAACATAACATCACGCCTTTTATCCCCGAAGGGGTAGGCAGAGGTGCACATTATGCCACTGTACGATGTAACACCCACTTTTCACTATTTATGTTATGAGTCCCATGTAATAGGGGGTGAGCCTATTGTATGTATTACATACAGCATATTATTTATACAACCACTTTTTATTGGTAACTTAACTAATAATATTAGTATTGTTTTTATAATAAATATCGTGGGACAATTTAGTAAAATTAACTAAAATCGCAGGTTACTCACATAAATCAGTGAGCTGCGCGACGTCGCCGCGACCGAGCGCGCTGCTCATGAGGAAGAAAACAACGATATAAAGGTAGATAATAATAATATTTTAAATAAAATCGCGGGCTACTCACGTGAATATACTGAGAAAAGCTTTTTTATCTACCTTTACATTGTTGTTTTATCATATAATAATTCTAAGTTTGATCCTAAAACCTCATAGTTACTCTACTCATGAAGTATCATGAGTAGAGTAACCCATAATATATTAAAAGTTTAGCTCAATAGCTAAGCTATGATAATTATGTCAATACATATACCTATAAAATATTTGTTAAACTAAATAGACGCATTGCCATCGTAAAAGGAAGAATTAAGCTACATATGTACTCCCGACAGAAGAGAATGAACAGCGGAACTACTGCAAACTGTAGCTTATTTAAAAGGGAACTAGATTCAAAATGCAGTAGAGAGACAATGCACCAGTTAGGTTAGCTTAGGTTAACACGTGTGGCTTCTATCTAAATTTGAAATGTCCACGAGCCTGTAATTGTCACCGGTTACCGGTAACCGCTCTAACGTTAACGATGATTGGCGGTGTAAATTGACATGCTGCTTGAATTTACCAGCCAGACAGATGTATAAGGAATATATTTCTTGTTGACGTGTGCGGACGTGTTACGTAGCCGGAGTGTATTGTGTAATAAATAAAATAAAATATTTCGCTGTTTTACGTTATAAATGGATACGAAATGTAGCGGCTGTGATGCTGCTTTGAATACTTCATTTTTTATGGAGTGCTCACAAGAAAAATGCAAGAAGAAATTTGATCTCAAGTGTCTGGCATTGACTGAGGAAAAATTCAACGCATTTACGCGAGAATATAAAGTTAAGTGGAGTTGTCCAGAATGTGTCTGCACTATGCCGAAGCGTGGTAATACTAACACGCCTGTTCGAGGAACTACAAGCACCAACAAGTCGGTTTCACAGTGCAGCAGCGTGAATACCGCTGATCGAGGCAGTCATCGAAAAACAGGTGAAATAATACTCAACACGGAGATTCAACTTCTCAATGAAATACGAGAGTTTCGTGGGGAAGTTAAGAAGCAGCTGGAAGAGCAACGAAGTGAGTTTATTCAGTTGAAAAATAAATTTATAAATACAGAAACTGAGTTGAAAGAGTTGAAACAAATTTTGAAGGTAGTGCAACAAAAGGCAAATAAAGTCGAGATGCTAGAAACAAGAATAAGGGTTCTTATGGGAGAAAATGAGAAACTGGAAGCAAGTTTGAAGAAAAGTCAGGGCCAAATCCAGGCAGAACAAGGCTCTAAAGACATAAAAAAATCATTTGCTAAAGTTGTCAAAGAAAAGCAGGTAGATGGAAATGATGAAGTAAATGAGTGTGTGGCCACGAAATCGGTGACAGTGTCTATAAATAAAGAGCAGACAAAAGTAAGAAATAATGGGAAGACTAAAACTATGGTAAGCGGGGACAGGGAACATCCTGAAAAGGAGGGACAGTGGACTACCGTTACCAGGAAAAAAAACAGATTTACGAATAAGGAAGTGAAGAAGGGCGGGAATACTAGTCCTGTTATTGATATACAAGGAACGGAAAGGAAGAAATATTTACATGTATGGCGATTGCAAAAGGGAACGACAGCGGAAAGCGTAGAAAAGCATGTCAAGAAGATATATGCGGAAGAAGTACCCGTTAAGGTAGAACAAATTAAGCACAAGACAGAAAGAGATTATGCTTCCTTTATTATAGGAGTTCCTGAAAGTAAATATGAACAGTTATGCCAATCAGAAAACTGGGCAGTTAACATTGAATTTGCGGAATGGGTGTGGTTTCGGAGAGCAAACAACCCCGGATATCCTACATAACTCGGTGGAAATATTGTACCAAAACGTTCGAGGGCTGCGAACAAAGTTAGAAGAATGTCACACAAATATATCCACCGGTAGTGTAGACTTGTTTGCCATGACGGAAACAGGATGTAATGATTCCATATATGACGCAGAAATAATTCCACCAGGGTACACCATTTTTCGGTGTGATCGAACGGACGGGCGTAAGCAGGGCGGCGCGTGTCTCGTGGCCACACCGCGTTTTGAGTTGCGGCGAGTGCCGCTGCCCGATGACGTCAGCGTGGACAATCAGGTGTTCGAAATAGTTTGTGCTACTGTGTACCTACATAAAAGATTTCTATTTTTTATTTGTGTTGTTTACATACCGCCAAGTAGTAATGATACTGAATATATGTCATTATTTCGCATCATTGAACATTATTGTGGTAAATACGAGAATGTGGTGATTATAGGAGACTTTAACTTGTATTCGTGTTCTTCAGCCATAAGTGATTATTATGAATACTTTCGTGCTTTTTGTGGATTCACTCAGAGTAACACAGTGGGAAATTGTAATGATCGTTGTTTGGATTTGGTGTTGAGTGCATTGACTGAGGGGGGCGTGTGAGTGTGCGTGCGGCCGAGACGCCGCTGGTACCAGTGGACGCGTACCACCCGCCGCTTGAGATCAAGGTAAGTACTTGCTCGCGCCGACGCCGGAGCGTCAGCTCAGTAGCCCCGGCTGCGCCCTGCACAGCGAGCTCGGCACCCGAAACAAGTTGGAACTTTAACAAAGCCGATTTTCCAACATTATATTCCTTAATCTCAACCATAGACTGGACTACTTTGTATGACTTAGACGTAGAATTAGGTTTAGATTATTTTTACAATGTTATTAATTCTGTTATAGATGACTGCGTTCCAAAAAAAAAGCGAAGTCGTGTAAACTCAAGGTACATTTACCCTGAGTGGTACACGAGTGAGATAATTCGCGACATAAAATTAAAGGCTTTTCTGCATAAGCAGTACAAGGCGAGTGGGTCGAAAGTGGACTACGATGCTTTTGCTGTATGTAGGGCTCGCGTTAAAAAGATGATGGTAGTCGCGCAGAAACAATATCGTGACCGTGTCCAGAGTCAAATGCTGAGTGACCCTAAATCATTTTGGAATTACACCAAATCCAAGAGGGGTAGGAGGGGACCGCAGGAGATTTTGAAAGATGGAGAGGTTTTGTCTGGTCAGCGTTATGTTGAAGAGTTTGCGCAGTATTTTTACTCTGTTTATAGGGCAGAACCACCAGCGCTGGACGTTGACGCGGCTGTAGCAAGAGCAGGTAGTGGAAACGGAGCGGCGCGAGTACACTTTAACCAATTAACGCTGGCAGATGTGTCTCAAGCGCTACAAGATCTGAAGCCGAAGCGGTCCGCAGGGCCTGATGGCATTCCTCCTTATATTTTTAAGGACTGTCGTTCAGCGCTAGCAAAGCCACTGCTTCATATTTATAATCAGTGTCTGCAAACTGCCATGTTCCCTGAGAGGTGGAAAGTGACTCGCGTTGTTCCGGTTCCCAAGGGGGTATCTGCAGAATCTGTAGATGGGTTTCGGCCAGTAGCAGTATTGTCGACACCGGCAAAAGTATTAGAGACCGCTATCCATAAGAGCATATATGTACAAGTGCGCGCGCAGCTCTCAGATGCTCAGCATGGGTTTCGACCAGGAAGGAGCACCACCAGTAATCTTCTCTGTCACATGGCTCATTTGATACCAATAGTGGATGGTGGGGGGCAGACTGATGCTGCTTATTTCGATTTCCGAAAAGCATTCGACCTTGTCGATAATGACGTGTTGCTAACGAAGTTCGCTAGCTTTGGTTTCACCCCACATACACTTCAGTTTTTTGCCAGCTATTTAAGGGATAGGCAACAATATGTTGAATATGCGGGACATGTGTCGGATCCATATTTCACTAGATCAGGAGTGAGTCAAGGTAGTAATCTTGGACCTTTGAGTTTCCTTCTGGTGGTAAATGACTTGCCAGAAGTAGTCCAAGATGCTAATTGTCTGTTGTTTGCTGACGATCTCAAATTATCTCTTGCAATAAGAACTGAGGAGGATTGTGTCAGGTTACAGAGGGACATTGATAGAGTGGTGAGCTGGAGTAAAGAAAATCTCCTACAATTCAATAGTTCGAAATGTGTTACAATTGCGTTTTCGCGTGCACATAATCCTATTGAGGGCAGCTATCACATTGAGGGGAAGCCTTTGGCGCGAGTCGGGGAGGTCAAGGATTTGGGAGTAAGATTTAACACCGGTTTGACATTCCGTGAACACGTCATGGGTTGTTGTAAAAAGGCTTTTAGAAACTTAGGCTTCATGCTCCGAACGGTCCGTGGATTTACTAACATAAAAGCCATCATCACACTATATAACGCACTAGTTAGGAGCCAGTTAGAATGTAACGCAGTCATCTGGTCTCCGCATGAAGCTAAATATAGTCTCATGCTGGAGAGAATTCAAAATAAATTTATTAGATATTTATATTTGAGGTACTATGGGGTCTATCCGTTTTACCCATTGATGTATCCCACATTATTTATTTTAGGCATGGTGGGGTACAATGAGTTAAGGGTAAGACGGGATTTTGCACTCACCTCACATTTGTTTAAAATATTAAGAGGAAAGCTGCACAATGCAGTCATTTTAGGACAGCTGAATCTATGTGTTCCGGATAGGTACGTGTGGCGACGCCGGCGACCGCCACTGCTGGCAGAACCCCGCG